CGAAAAATCCGTCGCATCTTCCTGGCAACTCGACCTCCTGCGTGTACCTGTACAGCACGTCCAACTTCTCAAAAATCTCATCGAATGCTTCTGCGGTGTCCATCCTCTCGAAACTTATCTCATCACAGGCGTCCCATGCGTCGCCCTGCAGGCTCTGCAGGAGCAAGTAGGCGCCCTCACTCACCACTGGCGCGCCTCGGCGCGCGCACAACCTCTGGAACACCGTCGCTCTCCGTCGAAAGTTCCTGTACGTCGCGTGGCTGAGGTCCGTCGCATCCGGGCAGCACTTCGCCAAGCCCGCGTCCATCTGTGGTGGCCGATCACCCTGTCGTCCTCGGCCACCTCCTCCGAGGAGCTCGCTGTCGTCGTCTGGTATTTCCTGCTCCTCGGCTTGGCGACGTTCCTCTTGCTGGCCACTTCCTCGTCCAGCGTCGCCACCGCCACGCCCTTCACCTCGTCCGCGTCCCGGTCCTGGTTGACCGTTGGGCCGCATCTCTCGACTCTGCTGGGAGAAAATCAAGAGCGGACGTTATCGGTCGGGCCGTGGACCTGGAGCCGTAGCTCCGCTACCAATGTCGGTAGCACTCAATAGAACCACCGAAGTCTGAACACACAAAGTTCCAAACCGAATATGAAATTGGATAGATTGCGATCGATAAGATCCGCTCGTAGTTAATATCAGCTCAGGGGCCCCTACGAATCAGTTTGAGTCAAAACAGGCAGCGGGCGCGCGCACACCTACACGCAAGTATGTACCGCAAGCAAGCAAGCAACACACACACGTGCATGCTAGCAATCATTACATCATGCATAGCTACTACATTGGAACAGAATCTGTGCCATTGACAACCTGGGCCCTTCAGGACAGACATTGAGGATGATGAGGAGGCGACGGAGGAACACGAAGATAGGGGACGATGATGAGCTGATGGTGATGGCGCTGATGATGATGATGATACTGATGCTGGTGATGATGATGGTCGTGGTGGTGGTGATGATGATCATGAGGATGGTGTTAGTGACGAGGAGGATGAGGAGACAGAGGAAACGAGGAGGAGGATGCTGGTGATCAGGAGGGGAGGCGGAGGAAGATGATGAGGAGGACTACGAGAAAGAAAAGGTGGAACATGAGGATTCGGAAGAGGAGGACGATTCGGAATGGGAAGGGGAGGGGGGAGGGGGGGGGGGGGGCGGATTGTGTCCAGGACGAAGAAGGAGAGGCATATTACTAGGAGGATGGGTAACACGAAGGACAGACCCTCGGGGAAATACTACCGATTATGAGGATAATGGTGATGACCGCGGTCAAGACGCGGGGGATGATGAAGGTCATGATGAATGAAACGCGTAGGGTGAAGGTTTTGATGGTGACCAGGGTGATGACGAGGGGTAGGATGCTGCTGAAGATGTTGCTGTTGAAGGTGATGATGACGGTGATGATGATGGTGATGGTGATGATGTTGCTGCTGATGACGATGGGGATGATGATCAAGCGGGGTAGTTGGAGGATGAGGGGGAGGGATGATGGGGATGGTCCTGAATGTGACGAGGAGCAGAACGAGAGGGATGACGGGGGATGATGGCGATGATAATGATGATGGTCGTTGTGGTGATGCTGGCGACGATTATGATGATCCTAGCGATGTTGCTGTTGGTGCTGATGATGCTGATGAGGGTGATGCTGTGATGCTGCTGATGATCATGATGATGATGCTGCTGATGAGGATGCTGATGGTGCTGCTGATGATGATGGTGGCCATGATCATGATGATGCTGCTGATGATGATGAGGTATTACTAATACTCCTTTGGCCTACTTAAACAGCCCTGCATTCTTTTCCCGTGCAGAGTGTTGGTAGGGCATGGATCTTGCGGAGGGAACGTATCCGCAGCTGTGATAGCTACTCAAGCAACAGCGCGCGCGCTGGTCGGCCGGGCGGGCCTGCCATACGCACGCGCGTTCGGATACGTCATAGTTTCCTTGGGGTAGTCCCGCTTCACGGTTTCATTTCGCCATGCACTCACCAGTTCGCAGTGGGAGGTTACTTCTCGTGAGCTACTAGAAGAAGAACAACCTATCAGTTCCAATACGCGGTTGCCGAATGCGACGATACATAGGCAAAACATTGGTTATCAGCCGAAAGTTCTTCCACGAGGCCAGGAGGCAGTCCCTTCGGGAACTGGTGATGCTAGTGTTTTTGTGCACCAGAACATCCGCAGGGATTTCTGCCAGCGGCAAAAGTCGTCTATCAATATCCTGGCGATGTCAGGGGGCCCGACTACGTTCATCGCAGACGTGAAGCAGGAGCAGGCAGCAGTGGCAGTAGCAGCAGCGCTGGCAGTAGCAGTGGGAGTAACAGTAGAAGTGGTAGTGGCAGTGGCAGTGGTAGCAATGTAGTCGTGGTACTCGCACTATCAGCAATAGTAGTAGGAGACGGAGAAATAATAATAATAATAGTAGTTGTTGTTATTGTAATAGCAGTAGTAGTGGTAACAACACTACTACTACTACTGTTACTACGACTGCTACTACTACTACTACTACTACTACTACTACTACTACTACTACTACTACTACTACTACTACTACTACTACTACTACTAACTACTACTACTACTACTACTACTACTACTACTACTACTACTACTACTACTACTACTACTACTACTACTACTACTACTACTACTACTACTACTACTACTACTGCTACTACTACTACTACTACTACTACTACTACTACTACTACTACTACTACCCTACGACTGGCACTACGGCTGCTACTACTACTAACGACTACTACTCTACTACTACACTACTACTACTACTACTACTACTACTACTACGATAATACTACTACTACTACTACTACTACTATTACTACTACTACTACTACTACTACTACTACTACTACTACTACTACTACTACTACTACTACTACTACTACGTAACTACTACTACTACTACTACTACTACTACTACTGCTACTACTACTACTACTACTACTACTACTACTACTACTACTACTACTACTACTACTACTACTACTACTACTACTACTACTACTACTACTACTACTACTACTACTACTACTACTACTACTACTACTACTACTACTACTACTACTACTACTACTACGACTACTACTAGTACTACTCCTACTACTGCTGCTACTACTACTAAGACTACTACTACGACTACTACGACTACGACTACTACTGCTCCTACCACTATTGCGACCACTGCGGCTACTGCGGCTACGGCTACGATTACGACTACGACGACTACTACTACTACTACTAATACTAATACTAATACTAATACTACTACTTCTGCGGCGACAACGTCGACTACTACGATTACCACTATTGATGCTACGGTTGCTATTACTACTACTACCACTACTACTACTACTACTACTACTACTACTACGACGACAACTACTAGTACTTGTACTACTACTACTACTACTACTACTACTACGACGACGACGACGACGACTACTACGACTACTATTACTACTACTACTACTACTACTACTACTACTACTACTACTACTACTACGATTACTACGATTACTGCTACTACTACGACTACTACTACTACTACTACTACTACTACGACGACGATTACTAGTACTATACTACAGTACCACCACCACTACGACTGCTACGATTGCGATTATTACTATTACTACTACTACTACTACTACTACTACTACTACTACTACTCTACTACTACTACTACTACTACTACTACTACTACTACTACTACTACTACTACTACTACTACTACTACTACTACTACTACTACTACTACTACTACTACTACTACTACTACTACTACTACTACTACACATGTTACTACTGCGACGACGACGACGACGACGACTACGACTACTACTACTACTACTACTACTACTACGACTAACTGTCAGGATAAGATCAGTAGCAACTTTAGCAGCACTGGTTGTAGTGGTAGTAGTACAATGATGGCAGCTATAGTGAGTAGTAGCCGTAGTAGTACCAGTGATACTAGTAATTCTCGTAGTCCAACTAGTAGTACTAGTAGTAGTAGTAGTAGTAGTAGTAGTAGTAGTAGTAGTAGTAGTAGTAGTAGTAGTAGTAGTAGTAGTAGTAGTAGTAGTAGTCGTAGTAGTAGTAGTAGTCGTCGTCGTCGCCGTCGTGGTAGTAATAGCAGCAGTAGTAGCAGTGCTAGTAGGAGTAGCAGTGGTAGTAATAGTAAGAGGGGTAGTCGTGGTACCCGCCGCCCATCGTGTTGCCTGAATCGTGTTTCGGATCTCGCCGCCGGCCAATGGAACGGAACTCTGGGTGCGAGCCGAGCGCGCGCTCCCAGCTGCATGCCGCAAGGGCGCAGCGGAACTTTTCTAGACGCATCGAGACCCGAATGACACGACGCCAACATCTGAGACAAGACAATGGAGTCGGCAGGCTGTCCTGCCGCGGGCCAACGTGCCGCCATCGTTGGTCTGCCCATCGAGCCAGCGGACACCCGCGAGCTCTGCGACCATCCGACATCTGGTCCTGGGCTAGTCGGGCCCAGCGTTCCGGGCTGGACCCCATGGGCGGTCAGGACCCTGTGGAGGGGACCCTGCGGCCAGCAACGGCTGGACCCCCGCAGACAGACCCCGACCTTTCCAGAACACGCTGAGGGCAGGAAGCTGCTGCAGCAGGCTGAAGCGCCCAGAGATACAAGCAAAACATACTTGGTCGGCGGCTCCTCGGATCCGAGTCGCGGGCGGGCTGCGCTGGGGCACAGGCGAAGCTAATGGTGGCACGATGGGAAGGGGAAAGACCTGAGGACAGCAGAGAGGGCTACGCACGGCAAGAGGGCCCTCAGAGCATGAAGCTCTTCGGGATGTGCCGAAGCGAGAGCGAGTCGTACAGGAAGTGCAGCCGAGCAGGACACACATCTGGGCGCGCCCCTCGGCCAATCCCGACGGAGTGACACCCCGCAGCCGGCGCGGCCACTGAGCCCCCCGCGTAGCCCCCGTCCGGATCCCGCATCCTCGTGGCGAGCAACTCGCCTCTGGCGGTCGCGCCGCTCTCGAGCGTCACGTCGACCCAGACGCCACCTGCTCGGCTGAACCAGCCGAACGTGGGTATCTCGGCCACCTGCGGGATCGGACGCGCAGCTCTGCGCGAGGGGGCGGGGCAGAGGATGGATCGAGCCAGAGGCCTCCCAGATGGGGTCGGAGCAGGTGGGGTCGGAGGATCGCGCCGCATCGTCGATACGTCACCCATGCATGGGCGATACGTCGGCGACGTCGGCTGTGTATTGCCGACTCGGCGTGCAGAAAATATGGCTCTACATCGAAACGCATCGCTGATGCATCGGCGATGCGGCGCAATTCTCCGACCCAACCTGATCCGACCCCATCTGGGAAGCCCAGGGGGGTTAGAAGAAGAAAGAACGACATAAACATAAACTTTTGGCGCCAGGCGGATTTCTTGGATGTGGCCTGGGCCTGAATCCCTGGCGCGCGGAGCGCGGCAGGAGCGGCGCCAGAGGCGCCGCCGGGGGGGCCCAGCGCGGTTACAAGAAATCCGCGCGGAGTGCCAAAAGTTCATGTTTATGGCGTTTTTCTTCTTCGAGGAATGCCAAGAGGGAAGAGGGCGGAAGATGGAGGGCAGCGTGGCGAGAGGAGCGGGGTTGGGGAGTGCTGGGGTACAGGAGGACGCGTGGCTCTGCGCAGGGGGAGGGGCAGAGGATCGGAGGAGGAGAAGGAGGAGGAGGAGGAGGAGGAGGAGGAGAGAGGGAAGAGGGAGGAGGAGGAGGAGGAGGAGGAGGAGGAGGAGGAAGGAGGAGGGAGGAGGGAGGAGGAGGTGGAGGAGGAAGAGGAGGAGGACGAGGAGGAGGAGGAGGAGGACGAGGAGTGCCGGAGGGAAAAGAATGGAAGATGGACGAGGCGCAGAAAGAACTGCCTTGTATTATGCGCCCCCCCCTTGGAGGCGCACGTCCGGACCGAACATATAGCACAAATATCTTCTAGCGCAGCGTTGTCAAGGCGATGTGGCCAGAAAGCGCCCGCCATCGAGCAATGCTGCAAGACTTCTGGGCACGCGCGGTACCCCTGAGGGGCCGACGCAAAACAACCTGTAAGCATGCGTGGGTGATGCCGATGCGGGGGGGGGCAGCGTGGGAAAAGAGCTGGCGTAGGGGGGTGGCAGGGTGGCGGGGGTAGCGGGTCGGGCGAGAGTGGCGAGGAGGCAGGGGGGCACCGTGCACGGGCAGCAGTGCAGGAGGGGGTGAGGGACGGAGGGCTGCGGGGTCGAGGCTTGAAGCTCTCCGACTTCCCAGATCACCGACGTCGTGACTTTTTCGCAGCATGGTCCCCCGGAGATCTGGACCCCTTCCCCGGGACCACCTCCTCATCCCGACTCGTTTTGTGACGGTGCGCTCCAGCAGACATGGCGCATCGCTGCGAGCTATGGCACCGCCCGCTCACCCCGAAAATCTGCCCCCTGTGGGGACTTGAAACAAAGCGGTTGCGGGAGAGAGACAAGCACAGAAAGACTGCGCCATCGCACAAAACCCTTACCTATCACTACCATCTAAAAGAGGGAGGAGGAGGAGGAGGAGGAGGAGGAGGAGGAGGAGGAGGACCAGTGCAAACCCAAGAATCATCAACGATGTTGAAATTAACCCTCCCTCTAAGCTCCCTCAAAATAGGCCGCTACAACGGTTCCTTTCCATTGAGAGAACTGCCTCGTTGGAAGACAACCGTTTGAAGATCCTGAAGCATGCCAAAACAGTGTTCTAGGATTTAACACCACGTATCAACCTGACTGCTGCGTCTTGACGATCCGGAATCGTGCCAGAACGTCATTTTTGGGACTTCAACACCGCGAATCAACACAACTGTTGTACCCGCATAATCCTGAATCCTTCCAAAACTCAATTTCTGGTACGCTGATCATGAGAATCCGTAGAGTTCTTGCAAATGTTTACAACGAATGTGCGCGGCGCCAAGGCGAGAGCCACATGTTGAAAAAGAACCACCTTCAGTATGTGCAACTGTTGCAAATTTTGAAAACGAATGTGTGCGGCGCTAAGGCGAGAGCCACATCTTGAAAACGACCCGCCCTCAATCCATGACACTCTTGCAAATGTTTTAAAACAAATGTGCGCGGCGCTGAGGCGAGGGCCACATTTTGAAAAGGAACCGCCCTCAATCCGCGAAACTCTTGCAAATGTTTAAAACGAATGTGGGCGGCGCTAAGGCGAGAGCCACATATTGAAAACGACCCGCCCTCAATCCATGAAACTCGTGCAATTTGTTATAACGAGCGTGCGCGGCGCTAAGGCGAGAGCCAAAATTTGAAAACCACCTGCCCTCGATCCGTGAATCTCTTGCAAATGTTGAAAACGAACGCGCGCGGAGCCATGGCGAGAGCCACATTTTGAAAACGGCCCGCCCTCAATACATCAACCAGCGTTGACTCCAAATAGATAGGAGGACAGGAGGAGGGCGAGAGGAGGATGGGAGGAGGACGAAAGGAGGACGGGAGCAGGACGGGAGGAGGACGGGAGGAGCAAAGTCAATCAAGATTAAGAAAGCAAGCGGAAGCAAGCAAGCGAAAACGAGCAATAGCAAGCAAGCAAGAGCCAGCGATCGAGTGCAAGCAAGCAAGGGCAAGCAAGAGCAAGCAAGCGATAGCAAGCACGCAAGAGCAAGCAAGCAAGAGCACGCAAGAGCAAGCAAGGGCAAGCGACCCATAGGAATACATAGGAATCCATAGGACTCGCCATTGGGAATAACTGGGGGATGCCATTGGAAATAAGGGGGGGCGCCATTGGAAAAAGGAGGGGGATGCTAAAGACCAATTACGTGTAGGACTCCTAGAGGGCAAGACGAATTGGAGAATGAAACTATTGCAAATGTTTGAAACAAATGTGCGCGGCGCCGATGCGAGAGCCAGATTTTGAAAACGACCCGCCCTCAATCCGCGAAACTCTTGGAAATTGATAAAACGAATGTGCGCGGCGCTGGAGCGAGAGCCACATTCTGAAAACGGCCCACCCTCCATCTGTGAATCTGTTCATTTTCAGAATCATAAATGGTGGGGAAGTCTCAGGCGAAACGCCCGGCCCGCCCTGAAAACTGGCGCGACAGAGAGATGTTATCTACGAGGAGAAGGAATGAAGGAGAAGGAGGAGGAAGAGGGGGAGGAGGAGGAGGAGGGAGGGAGGGAGGAGGAGGAGGAGGAGGAGAGAGGAGGAGGGAGGAGGAGGAGGAGGAAGAGGAGGAGGAGGAGGAGGAGGAGGAGGAGGGAGAAGGGAGACGTGAGGAGGGAGGAAACAGGAGGAAAGAGGAAGGAGGGAGGAGGAGGAGGGGGGAGAAGGGAAAGAGGAGGGAAGGAGGGAGGAGGGAAGGAGGAGGGAGGAGAGAGGAGGAGGAGGAGGAGGACGAGGAGGAGAAAGAGGAGGGAGGAGGGAGGAGGGAGGAGGAGGAGGAGGAGGAGGAGGAGGGAGGGAGGAGGAGGAGAGGAGAGGAGGAGGAGGACGAGGAGAGGAAAGGAGGGGAGAGGAGGAAGAGGAGGAGGAGAAGGAGGAGGAGGAGGGGGAGGAGGAGGGAGGAGGAGGGCGGAGGAGGAGGAGGAGGAGGAAGGAGGAGGAGGGGGGGGAGGAGGAGGAGGAAGAGGAGGAGGTAGGTAGGTAGGTGGTGCTCCCATGGAGCTGGTGCGGGAGCTTCGGACGCGACTCCCTTTTAGCATGGCACCACGGCCCCGGGGGCAGGCTCGGAAGTGTCCGTGCAGCGACGACCCTGGAGGTCAATCCACCAGCACTGGAGGGGACGAGACGGGATCTGCCGAAGCTTTCCGCCCAGAGAGACAGGGAACACAATGCCCCAGAGGGCCCGCCCCCAGGAGACAAGGGCGAACCCAAAAACCAAGCCGAGGAGACCGCTCCGACAGACTCACACTCTCCATCCCCTACCAGGTGCGGGGTGAGAGAGAGACAACTCAGGGACTCCCCGCAGGGCGGGGGGGGCCGGGCAGGGAGCTCCTGCCCGGGGCTCGTCCGATCCCTCCTGCCCTGCCTGGTCGACGCACGGCGCAGGTGCGGGACGGCGACAGGAAGGGGGAGAGGAAGCCACCCCAAAGGAGAGGAGGAGAAAACAGAAAGTGGGAGGACCCTGCCCGACCCGACCCTCCCACCTGGCACCAGGCAGGAGGTAGGGAGGGCGGGTGTAGCTGCTCCCTGCGGCCGCCCAAAAGCGTTCCGTCTCCCTGTCGACAAAGAGCGCCAGCAGGGCCGCCTGCGCATACCCTGCATCCGTCGGGCCTGCAGAGAGGATCGCTGCAGCCGCCGCCTCCGCTGAGGAGGGAGCTGGGCCTCCACGGGCCTCCCAGAAAGTGCGCCGGGGGAGCTCCGTGCGAGAGCACAGCCCGAGGACGTGGAACGTGGGGCTCAGGGTCTGCATGCCGCACATTACGCAGGACTGCCTCCGCGCCGTAGAGACATTGCCAGAACAGTGGCTGAAGACCACAAGCCGCCCGTTTAACCTGCTCAGCGAACGCTGGCCCAATAGCACATCAAGGAGGAAGAGGAGGAGGAGGAAGAAGATGAGGAGGAGGAGGAGGAGAAGGAAGAGGAGGAGGACAAGGAGGAAGAGGAGGAGGACGAGGAGGACAGGAGGGAGGAGGAGGAGGAGAAGGAGGAGGAGGAGGAAGAGGAGGAGCTCTCGGGCGAGACGCTCCGTGCACGCAGGAAGCGCGGCCAAGGGGCGGCGGCGGCGGCGGCGGCCGCGGCCTGCCCTTCCAGCCACTGGTTCGTGGGGATGTCGTAGAACTGGCGGATGTCCGTCTCCAGGCCAACCGCCTTGCCTGGCTGGCTGGCGCCTCGTCGTCATGCTCATTCTCGAACGGGACGCAGGGGGAAATAGTTACTTGTACGAACGGGACACAGGAAGGCATACTTGTACTCTGCGTCCTCCTTGGAGGCGCACGTCCGAACCGAACATATACTACAAGCCTTGCGGCATATCGCTTCCCGAACGGTATAGCAGAAAGCGCCCGCAACTGAACTTATACTCTAAGGTTTCCGATTGTGCGCGTCGTCCTTGCGTGACCGACGCACATATCCGCCATCGTGCTTGCACGGAATGGGCATGTTAGAGTGATTGCTGTTGCCCGAGAGGTTTCTGCAGTTTTCTAGGGCCGACCCCCCTCCCCTGGCACCCGCATCACCAAATAGTCCTGGCGAAAGACCCATCCGTTGCGGGTATCGCATTTGGGGGATATCCGTGGCCTTCAGTGGAGCTTCCTGTGGGGCCGCCACTGCGGCCTTCGGTGGAGCTCCACTCCGTATGGAGCCACGCAACGCTGTACTGGATGGGTAGGACGCATGAAAACACCGCCACTGGGGCCTTCGATGAAGCCCCTTTTTGGGGGGCCACGAAACGCTGTACGGGGTGGGCGAGACGCATGCGAACACCGCATGCCAACTCCGCCATTGGGGCACCAGGTAGGTTTCCCCATGCTGCAACGGAACGCTGTACTGAGTGGGGGAGACGCATGCGCACACCGCCGCTGGGGATTGGGGCCTTCGGTGGAGCTCCCATGAGGCCACGAAACACTATACGGGGTAGGGGAAACGCATGCGAACACCGCCACTGGAACCATCGGCGGAGCTCCCTATGGGGCCACGACCTGCTGTACTGTATGGGGGATACGCATGCGAACACCACCACTTGGGCCTTCGGTGGACTTTCCAAGCTCCCCATATGACGACGACGATGAAGAACACGACGGCGATGATGATGATGATGATGATGATGACGACGAGATGCTGATGCTGCTGATGATGATGATGCTGATGATGATGATGATGATGACGATGCTGATGATGATGATGGTGATGGTGATGGCGATGATGACGATGATGGTGTTGATGATGTGATGACGATGATAATGACGACGATGATGGTGATGCTGGTGGTGATGGTGATGATGATGGTGATGGTGATCCCATTTTAGGAAAACGAGGAAGGTAGCGCGACCACAGAACTTCACCTCATTCGGTCTCGACAACTGCTCGAATCAAAATGTCGCAAGCCGAACCAGGAACACCACAGGAGCCGACATGCGATAAGCAACCTCAAGCAATGAACCGAGGCATCGAAGAGGAACGCGCGCGCCGCATGCGTGAAAAGGGGGACAAGCGAGGAAGAGAAAAGGGAGGCATGTGGCAGGGCGGGCGCGGTGGGCGAAGACCGAGGCTCGCCACGGCCACACTCCACACCCACTCGGTAGGGCGTACCGTGAAATATGGAAAAGAGACGGGGACCAACGACGGATCCAACAAAAAACGAAGGACGACGGCGCGCGTCATCAAATGAGCGCGAGGCCCGAACACCGCGAGATCGACAGTGCACGACCGCGGCGGCGGTGACCAACAATGGCACGATTAATAATAAAGGAAACACGGAAGAAGGGGGAGGAAGGGGGAAGGAGGGAGGGAACGGAAGAGATCCGGCGCGCAACGCAACGCAACGCAAGTGGAGGACACAACCCGCCGGCGCCACACGAGTGTCGCAGGCGTAGAGGCTCGGTCGGCGCGAGGTCCGACGCGAAGGCAAGGCACGCAACAAAGACAAAACAAACTACGCGCAAGGGGCTATCCCTGGATGGCGAGCTGGCCCAAGTGCCACGGCCCCACAGCCGCGGAGTGGAGGCATCGGGCGGGCTCCACGCACCAGAGGGATAGCCCACGCTGTACGCGCGCTAGCGCATGACAAGAAAAACGCGACAACAAGCGTGCGAAGGACAACCCTGAAAGGCGAGCTGGCCCATGTGTCACGGCCACGCAGCCGAGGAGTGGAGGCGCAGGGCGGGCCCGCGCGCCAGGGGGGACAGCTGTTTGTTCAAGTCTAATGGTCCACGCAATCAAACGCTAAACTGTAAAACTAATTACGGGCTCACGTCCGACGCTGTACGGCACCTGGCTGTAGCAGGTGTGCCAAGGCGCCGGTCACCAATGGCGCGGCGCCCTGGAACTTAACCTGGGGCGGTCCTAAAAGCGGCACAATCACACGTAACTGGTCCAGGCCAACATATCCCGACCATGCAATCATGCCGACTCAGACAGACCCTCTCGGCGCCTCGCTGGCTCGAAGCAAACCGCATGGCGAAGCTCCGACGTGGGTTGACCACACGACGCCTCGGCGCGCTCGAGGGCACGCCTCTGCTCCATGCGCCTGGACCGACCGTCCGCGCTGCCGTACAGCCTGCTGCCCGCTGCCGAGGGACAGCGATTTAAAGTATCCGCTGGGGCCGATTGCAGTTCGCGGCCACACCACGCGCGCGCGACCGCCGCCACATCCGCAGCACCCGCCGCCGCGGCGCCCGCCGCAGCGGCCACCTCGCCAGCGAACGAGGCCAAGACGGGGGCGGCCTCTGGTGGCGGCTCCTCCTCCGCCGCCGCCGTCCGCGTGCGCAGCTCGGCGATGCTCACGGCCGGGCCCGCGAGGAAGCCCTCCAGCCGGCCGGCCGCGTCCTGCAGCGCCTTCTCCGCCCTGGCGAGGCGGGGGCTTGGCGGCGGCGAGGTGCTTGGTCTCGCTCTGCTCCTGCTCCGTGCGCGCCGCGTTGAAGGCCTCCGCTAGCACGCTGTCGCCCGCGTGCCTTCGCGCTGCACCACCCGGCGCGCCGCCTCAAACGTTTGTGGCGTGGGGCGCCGCCTAGATAGCGGCTGAGGGTCCTGGGTCCTGGCTGTTTTTGACTCAGGGGGGACCACTCAAAGCTTGTCTCGATGTAGCGTGGGTTCGGGCGACTTGGACTCATCTTCTGCTGGCATCCTCCCTCCTCTCCCTCCGCAACGCCCACAGACCCCTCCCCATCACGCCCCCGCTCGCTTCTCCCTGAACTCCCTCCCCTCCCTCCTCAGTTCCCCCCCCTCCCCCCTCAAGACACCGGGCGATCTGGTTATACTTAGCAGAGATCAGCCTCTGCTCACGCATCACCTGCTCCCTGGCACGGCACTCCCGCTTCCCCTCCTCACGCTCCGTGCGCTCTCCTCCTCCACCTGGGGGACGAGGGAGGACGAGGGAGGACGAGGGAGGACGAGGGGGAGAGAGGAGGAGGAGGAGGAGGAGGAGGAGGAGGACGAGGAGGAGGAGGAGTAGTAGTAGGAGGAAGAGGAGGAAGAGGAGGAGCAGCAGCAGCAGCAGCAACAGTGTAAAACCAAGACGCATCAACGATGTTGCAGTAAACCCTCCCTCCAAGCTCCCTCTTCATAGGTCCCTACAACAATTTATGTTCATTGCAGGAAGTGCCCCAGTGCAAGACAACGTTTTGGAATCCTCAGCTGTGCCAAAACAAAGTTCCAAGGACTTCAACGCTGCGGATCGAAAGGACTGCTGCGCGCCCTGACGATCCTAAATTGCGCCAGGACGCCATTCCTGAGAATTCAATACCGCGAATTGAAGTGGATGCTGCATCCTGACAATCCTGAGCCGCACGAGAAAACCGTTCCTGCGACTTCACCATACGAAACCTTGAAACTGCTCCGGCGTTTCAACCGAATGTGCCCGGTGCTAAGGCGAGAGCCACATGGTGAAAAGGAACCGCCCCCCACCCGTGAAACAGTTGCAAGCTTTGAACGAATGTGCGCGGCGCTGAGGCGAGAGCCACATGTTCAAAAAGGACCGCCCTCCATCCTTGAAACTGTTGCGAATTTTAAAGGACAAGTGTGCGTGGCGCTAGAGCGATAGCCACATCTTGGAAACGGCGCGTCCTTTATCCTTGAGCTGTTGCAAACTTGTCAAACGAATGTGCGCGGCGCTGAGGCGATAGCCACATTCTTATAACGAACCACTCTTCATCCTTGAACCTGCTCAAAGCTTGTCAGCCGAAATGTGCGCGGCGCTTCGGCGAGAGCCACATTTCGGAACCCACCCGCCCTTCATCTTTGAAACAGTTGCAAATCTCAAGCTTCAGGATCATAAATGGTGAGGAGGTCTCACGCGAAACGCTCGGCCCCTCCTACCGACATATCTGGGGGTGCGACAGAGAGTTAGTTATACGGGAAAGGGGCGGCGGAGGAGGAGAGCTGGAGGTGAAGGAGCAGCACGCGGGGTGGAAGCCTATCAGATGACTGTCGGCGATCTTGCTCTCCACCATCGTCAGCCCCAGTTGGTCACCCCTCAAATGGGAGACCCACACCTGGGCGGTCTGGACTGTGCCCCCCGGACTGGTGCAAAAAGAGATTCCAAAGAAGTGGACTCGGAAACTCACCGTAGAAGTAAGGCCCGTCCAACCCACATCTACGGATATCCCCCGCCTCATCCCCGTCCACCTCCAAATCCTCCTCTACGTCCTCGTCCCCATCCTCCCCGTATACTCATCATCAACAGCATCAGCATAAGCATCAGCATCATTATCACCACCACCACCATCATCATCACCACCACCACCATCACCATCACCACCATCATCATCATGATCATCATCATCATCATCATCATCATCATCATCATCATCATCATCATCATCATCATCACCATCCTCAACATCATCATCATCATCATCATCATCATCATCATCCTCATCATCCTCATCGTCATCATCATCATCAGCATCATCATCAGTTTCGTCATCATCACAACCATCATCAACATTTCGTCGACATCATGAGCATGATCAGATTCATCATCACCATCATCATCCTCATCATCATCATCATCCTCATCAACAGCATCATCAACATCATAATAATCATCAACAACATCATCAGTATCATCATCGTTATCATCATATTCATCTTCATCTTCATCGGCATCGTCATCATCAGCAGCAGCATCATCATCATCATCAGCATCATCATCATCATCATCATCATCATCATCATCACCATCATCATCATCATCATCAGTATTGGCATCATCATCATCACCACCACCTCCCCACCATCATCATCAACAACAACATCATCATCAGCATCATCAACAACAGCAGCAGCATCAGGAACAGCATCAGCATCATCATAAGCAGCATCAACATCATCCTCAGTCTACTCCTCATCCTCAGCCTCATCACCATTCCTCCTCATCATCCTTTTCCCCCTTCTTCTCTACCCCTGTGAATTCCGTCACGTCCCCTCCCCATCAGTCGGTCCTCTCGCCACGTCCTCGTTCCTCGTTCCTCCTTATCATGCTCTTTACCATCATCCACACCACCATCATGCCCTTCCACATGTTCTACTCATCCGCGCCATCATCACTACCACCGTCATCATGATCATCAGCAGCAGCAGCAGCACCAGCATCATCATCATCATCATCATCATCATCATCCCCAATTCTCCTCCTCTTCGTCGTCACCAATATCAACACCATACTCATCAACATCGTCAACATATCGTCATCGTCACCGTTGCCATTACCGTCAACATCGTCGTCCTCACCGCCGTCGCTGCCGCCGCAGCAGCCGTCATCATCACCATCAGCACCAGTATCATCATCAGCAGCATCAGCATCATCAGCGGCATCAGCATCCACCATACGCACCGTCAGCATCACAATCATCATCAGCAACATCATCATCATCAACAGCACCACCACCACCGCCATCATCATCAGCAGCATCATCAGCATCATCACCACCACCATTATCGTCATCTCATCGTCGTCGTCGTCGCCGTCGCTGCCATCACAAACACCTGCACCACACCAATAAAGCGCAAGCATGATCGTCCTCGCTATCATCGTAGGAATTACCAAAAAGAGCATCCTCGTCATCAGTAGCGCAGCATTACCATGATGTTCAACACCACCAAGTTCAGTAGCATAACCACCGTCACGCGTATCACCACGATCACCAGAACCACCACCACCAGCGTCATCATATCATTATCAGCATTATCGTCATTGCCATCGTCATCGACATCGCCATCGTCATCATAAGCATCGTCATCAACACCATCAGCATCATCACCAGCATCACCAGCATAATCAAAATCCTCATCACCTCCATCATCACACTCATCACCGTCATCATCATCAGCACCATCATCCTCATCATCGTCATCAGCATCATCATCATCAGCAGCAGCATCATCATATGCATCAACCTTATCCTCAGCATCATCAGCATCATCATCATCGTCACCATCGTAATCATCGTAATCATCAGCATCATCTGTATCGTCATCAGGATCACCATCAGCATCATCATGAACAACAACAACATCATCATCCGCATTATCATAATCGTCCTCATCCTCAGCCTCATCATCAGCTGCAGCATCAGCAACATCATCATCATCGTCGCCATCACCATCTCCATCATAATCATCATGATCATCCTGATCATCCTCATAATTGGCAGTGTCGTCATCATCTTCCTACTCATCATCAGCATCATCATCGTCATCATCAATGTCAACAACCACAGCATTGATACCGTCACCATCACCATCAACAAAAAAACACCGTGATCTTATTCAATCCCCCCATCAACATCTTCCCCCTACTCCTCATCAGCATCCGCACATGTCTCATCAACACCAACGTCTTCCGCCCTGCTGCTGTTTCCCCTCCCCCTTCTCCAACTTTCTCCTCTTTATGCACAGACCTCTTTCACCCCCCCATCCTCTCCCTTCCTCCTCCCCTCCCGTTCCTCACATCATTATCAGCATCCCTCCTCCCTCAATTTCCTCGGGCCCGTGTCCGTCCCGTCCTCATAGCCTTGTCGAATAAGCTCACAGCACACCCCTTCCCGAAAAGATGCGCCGTCCACTCGACATGAGACCGTAAGGCCCAAAAAGATAGATTGAGGGTGTGCCCAAAGCCAGAACTCAACAGGCGTCATGCACGACGGGGTCGGTCCAAAGCCCTGAAGAACAACCCCAAAGGTTAGTAAGGGCGATCCCAAATAAGGCGAAGGCAGGATGAATCCAAAACTGGGTTGAGGTACATCGGGAAGCTAAGGGCTGGCGGTTCCAGAGGACGTATCGGGCACTGTGGCCTTTCTAGAGCGCTCGGAAACGGCCTGAGAGCGCTCCAGAGCTATCTTTCTTTGTCCTGCGCCTACCTGACACGAGGTACTGCCTGGTCCGCTCTGCTAGCAGGTGGCCACACCGAGTACGATGCACGGCCGCGACATGCCCGCCCATCTGAGGGAGAACCGAGGGGGGGGTACTGGCTCAGGAGGGGTGGGGGGGGAACGTCCACCTGGAATCAGGTACATCGCCGAGAGATCGGCGATGGGCTCCCGACAGCGAAACCACACTCTCCTGGGCGCGGTAGGCGCCGAACGATCGTATTGTGGAGGTCAATGCATTCTCCCCTGAGGCCATCTACGCCCTATCGAAGCCCCTGGAAGAGGAGGCAGCTCTGTCGATCCATCGAGGGCAAAGCCCTTTCCTGAACGCTCCAGGTGGCCGCGGCAATCCTGGCGCCTGTTGGCTCATGGTGTGTGGCTTGGGACTCACGGCTCCACATTCCAGGCTGAGGGTATCTGACCCGACTCCCGTCACACCAGGTTCCTGACCCTCAGCCCAAGGTCGCATTGCCTCAGAAGCAAGCAACGCCCGCCGCGCAACAGCGTCAGCACCTCGGCCCTTATCTTCTTCACAAGCGGGTCTGGAGCATTGTGTCCCGAGCCCGTAGAGTAGGCGGAGGCGGGAGTGGGGAGGAGGGAGGAGGACGGGGAGGGCAGGAGAGAGGAAGGGAAGGGGGAGCGGGAAGGGGGACGGGTAGGAGGAGGGCGAGAAGCAGGAGGACTGGCGGTCGGCAGCGGCGCGCCTCCACCTGCTGGCCGACCTGCAAAAGGTCGCCGATCTCGCCCGCGGGGTCGTCGTCTTCCGTGATGCGCGCCCTCTCGACCAGGCCTCGCAGTGCTGGGAACGACGCTGACGATCGACGACAATGACGCCGACGACGACGACCGCCACCACCACCACCACGACGACGACGACGACGGCGACGGCGACTATCGAGAACGATTATGACGATCGAAAACGACTACCGACGACGACGACGACGACGACGACGACGACGACGACGACGACGACGACGGCGGCGGCGGCGGCGGCGGCAGTGGCGGCGGCGGCAAAAAGATCGATGACGACGACGACGACAGCGGCGGCGTTGCCGACAACGATCGAGAACGGTGGCGACGATGACGGCAACGGCAACGACGACGACGGCGGCGACGACGGCAGCGGCGGCGGCAAAAACAGTCGAAGAAGATCGATGCTGACGACAATCGAGGACGGCGGCGACGGCAACGGCAACGACGACGGCGGTGGCAGCGTCGACGACGACAACGATCGACAACGACAACGCCGACGCCGACAACGACGACGATCAAGGACGACGACGCCGACGATCGAGGACGACGGCGGCGGCGGCGTCGACGACGATCGAGGGTGAGGACGCAAACGACCATCGAGGACGACGACACCGGGGACGATCAAGGACGACGACGCCGACGACGACGACGACAATCCCGACGGCGAAGACCTCAGCGACGACGATGACCATGATGACAACGACGGCGACAAAAACGATCAAGGACGACGGCGACAGCGGCGGCGTCGTCGACGACGATCGGGGACGACGACGACGACGGCGGCGGCAACGGCAGCGGCGACGACGGCGACGACGATGACGGCGGCGACATCGACAACTACGACAACGAAGACAACGACGACCACCGACGACCAAAAAAGATCGAGGACGACGACGACAGCGACAGCCTTGTCGACGATTATCGAGGACGGCGACGACGACAACGGCGGCGACGAAGACAACGGCGACGACGACGACGACGACGACGACGACGACGACGACGACGACGGCAGCAGCGGCGGCGGCGACAGCGATCGAAGAAGACCGATGCCGACAGCGATCGAGGACGACGGCGACGGCGACGGCGACGAATACGACGACGACGACGAGTGAAAACAACAACGCCGACGCCGACGACGACGACGCTCGAGGACGACAACGATCATGGCGACGTCGACGACAACGGCGACGGCCACGACGACGACGACGACGACCAGGACAGCGACGACGACCACGACGACCACGACGATCACGACGACAAAGACGACGACCAAAACGATCGAGGACGAGGAGGGAAGCGGCTGCGTCGTCGACGACTCTCGGGGTCGGCGGCGAAAACAATGACCCCCGCGGCGGCGACGACGGCGGCGACGAGGGCAGCGGCGGCGGCGGCGGCGACAACGATCGAAGAAGTTCGATGCCGACGACAATCGAAGCCGGCGGCGACGGCAACGGCGACGACTGCAGCGACGGCGGCAGTGGCGGCGACGACGACGACGACGACGACGACGACGACGACGACGAACGAGAACGACAACGCCGACACCATTGACGACGACGATCGAAAACGACGGCGCCGACGACAATCCACGCGGATCGACGACAACGACGACGACGATGGCGGCGGCGGCGACGACGAAGTCGACGACGACGACGACGACGACGACGACGACGACGACGACGACGACGACGACGACGACGGCGAAGACGACGACGACGACGACGACGACGACGACGACGACGATACCGACGACGACTGGGACGCCAACGACGACGACGACGACGATGACGACGACGACGACGAGGACAACGACGGCGACGGCGACGGCAACGGCGACGACGACGACGACGACGGCGACGGCGACGGCGACGACGGCGACGACGACGGCGACGGCGACGGCGACGACGCCTGTGGCGGCGGCAGTGGCGGCGACGACGGAAACGACGGCGGCGACGCCGACGGCGGCGACGGAGGACGACAACGCCGACGCCGACGAAGACGACGACGACGACGACGACGCCGAGGACGACGACTACGACAGGGCTTGAGCTACACAGTGTGTTTCGTTATCGTTTTGGTGTCGTTGTAATTCGTTTTGTCTTCGTTCTGCCTTTGCTACGAAATGAAATCAAAACGAAATCGGTCCAACAAAACAGAAAAACACCGTTTAGCTCGAGCCCGTGACGACGACGACGACGCCGACGACGACGACGACTGCGGCAACGACGACGAAGATGACGACGGCAACGACGACGGCGATCAAGGACGACGACGGCTGTGGCAGAGGCAGTGGCGGAGACGCCGACGACGACGACGATGGAGGACAACAACGCCGACGCCGATGACAACGACGATCGAGAACGACGACGACGACGCCGCCGACGACAACGACGACAACGAGGGCGACGGCGACGACGACGACGACGACGGACGACGACGACGACGACGATGACGACGACAACGGCGACGACGACGACGACGATGTTGACGACGACGGCGACAACGACAACGACGACGACGACATCAACGACGACGACGAAGACGACAACGACGACATCGACAATTACAACAACGAAGACAACGACGACCACGACGACGACCAAAAACGATCGAGGACGACGACGACGACAGCGACAGCATCGTCGACTACGATCGAGGACGGCGACGACGACGACGACGGCGACGACGACGACGACGACGACGACGACGGCGACCGCCGCCGACGACGACAATGACCGCGATCCAGGACGACAGCGCCAACGACGGCAACGACGACGACGACAACGATCGAGGACGACGACGCCGACGACGATCGGGGCCGATCAAGGACGACGGCAGCGGCGGCGTCGACAATGGTCATGAATGACGACGCCGACGACAGTCGTGGACGTCGCGATGACGACGACGACGACCGAGAACCACGACCGACGACGAGGACGACGACGACGACGATGTCATCGACAACTACGACGACGATGACGACGGCGATGAAGACGACGACGACGACGACGACGACGACGACGACGACGACGACGACAACGGCGACGACAAAACCGATCGAGGACGACGACGACGACGACGAGGACAGCGGCGGCGTCGTCGACGACGATCGAGGACGGCGGCGACGACGGCGGGCGGCGGCGGCGGCGACAGCCTCAATGACAGCAGCGGCGGCGTCGTCGACGACGATCGAAGAAGTTCGACGCCGAAGAAATTCGTTGACGACGGCGACGGCAACGGCGACGACCTCAGGGGCGTCAGTGGCAGAGGCGGCGGCGACGACGAAGACGACGACGACACTCGAGGCTCGAGGACACACGCCGACGACTCTCACGGCAACGGCAACGATGGCAGTGGCGGCGGCAGACGCGGCGACGACGACGACGGCGACGGTCGAAGACGAAAAATCCGACGACGACGACGACGACCACGATCGAGGACGATCGACACCCTTCGAGGACGACGACGGCAGCGACGGCGTTGACGACGATCGAGGACGACGACAGCGGCGGCGACCAGGGACGGCGACGACGACGACGACGACGACGACCACCACCACCACCACCACGACCACGACCACGACCACGACGACAACGACGGCGACGACGACGCCGACGACGACGACAACGACGAAGATGACGATTACGACGAAGTTGGCGGCGGCGGCGGCAGCGGCCGCGACGGCGACGACGACAGCAACGGCGGCGGCGGCGGCGGCTACGAGCAACCGCATGTGAAACCTACCCTGCAGGTCCGATTCATGAGAACACCCGCGGAGGGGCAGAACGTCAAGGATGTCTGCAGCCAAGCGAAACCTTTCGGAGGTGTCCGATACCTCAGTATCGAGTCGATCCGCATGCGCAGGGTAACTACGCAAGTGGTCTCAGGACGATGTTGCACGCTTCTTGGAGCTGTCACCGCCACGGCTGCAGGCTGCAGGGGGCTAGGAAGACTGGTCAGGATAGACAACAGGAGAGGTCGAGGGACGATTCTGGTCGGGGACGGGGCGTAGGGGCGACCTTGTGAGAAGGCTTGGGACTTCTTACAGAGGAAAGATCAGTTCGATGGGAAATCGGACTGAATCGGAATAGGCGTTGTATCGGGCTACATCGGCAAGGAGTCGGCATCGAATCGGAACGACTGCGACAGCATGCCCGACAGCAAATGCATCGGGTCGTCGGAACATCGGAACCGAACCAAGTCGGGATCGACATCGAATCGGATCGGTCGAATCTTGGCACGCCCGAACTCGGTACCGAAAAAATTGAGTACGATACCCACCAGCACACGTTTGAAAAAATCAGCAGCGGCCGCTGATGAGCAGGCGCCCTTCTGTCCCGAGTGGACCATGTCCGCGACGACACCGGCAGCGAGCGCTGTCCAAAAGCCCTTTGTTCCCATTCTTTCCGTGCCCACGTCGTTCGCGCCGAGGATCGAAAGCGACCGTGCCCGCACCCGCACGGCTCCCGTCCCGAGAACAAGGAGCCCTCCTGAAGGATCCGTCGAAGGCCGCGCTGGCCTTCCTGGTCCGCCCCGATGTCGACGAACGCGCCGAAGCCAGTGACGAGCTGCACCCTCCCAGTGAACTTCTGCCCGACCTCGAGCCGCAACGTGAGGCAAAGGCAAGACGAGGAGATCGAAATTCGAGTGAGGATGCGACAGGCTCGTGTCGCAAGGACTTCGGCGT